TGTGCTGCATATCATACTTGATGCTGTCATATATATCAGGTATTAAACTGATATCGTACATGCCATTCTTGAGTTTAAAGTCCTAGAGATCAATAATTTATGTATGAATTACCCCTAATATCAGTACCTATTTCTCATAGCCTGCGCCACAAGTAACCGTCGTTTGTCCGGATGTGACACAGGCTATATATCCCACTGCCCTGTCCTATTGACAATGTTTAAGCCCTGTTAATCTCAAAGCAAAGGGATCCTAACAGGTCATATTGAATATAATTGCTACCAAGTCCTCCTTAACCAAAGGATGACAAAGAAATCCCAAACRGCATAATGAATAAAATTATTTATGCCAAGTCTCCCCCAGCCAAATGATGACAAAGAATGCCAACAGCAATGTGACCTAAATCCTATCAGGGTGTTGTTGTTTACCTTGTCTAGTTTGTTCCAACGGTGCGACATGAGTTCTAATGTTTCATCATGATACAGGAAAGGGTCTGCAGAAATATAATATAATACAGTATATATGTAAAAATCTTCTGTTTTTTTTGTCTACAGTAGATATAACACTTCTTACCACGTGGGTTGTAAGTATTACTGCTCTTTATCTCATTCAAGTGTTTTGTTAAAGAATGAACCAGACCACTTAGCTTAGCACACATTTGCCTGGGATTCTTGACTTCTTTCATTGCATTGACCAATGAGGCTGCTTTAGTAGGTGCCAGCTGAACAAAGKGTGTAATARAACCTTTATTATTTCCAATGCTCACATCAGGCCATATATTYGAAATAAGATTGTATCTAACCTTGTTAAAGTCTTCCTCAGTAAAGTCTCTGTCAACTTCCATCAAGTCATGCAACTTATGCTTTACTCTGAATTATATAATATATAAAAAAATCGCTTGAGACTCCTTCAAATATCAAAGATCACACTGTGACTATACTTATCTTTCTTTACCTCRAAGTCTGATAAATCAATATCATTAWTTTTTATTAATCCATCTATCTTGAGGGGTGATAGATGACTTACTTGGCCATAAACTTGGTTGCTTGATCTGATGTATCTAACATCTCAGTCGTGTTCTTGTCACTGCGTACCAAGTGYACTAGAATAGGAGTTAGTTCACCCTCCAGTGCAAGAAATCCCTTAAGTACACATAAAAGATAAATCAACAACACATATCAATCCACCATTATATATAATAATCAAAACTAGCCACTAACCTTTGCAAAGGCACCTGCTGTCATTTGTACACGCCCTTCATCTGATGCATATATTTTGAGATCATGACGGTAYGTACTGTGYAGTCTTAGGAGGCCACACCCAGGAATACCTGAATATGCACCATCTCCACCTGGATATATACACCTAGAATATAACAAACACCTCATTATGAGCATATCTTAAGTTAACGAAATGATGAAATCTAGAATGGCTATATTCAGATATGATATATTCAGTAGAAACAAAGAACATACAATACATAATATATAACCTCTTASCATTCTGTTTTATTACCTGAATGCTCTTCCAAGGTCTTCAGCCTGGACTCTACCAGCTTGCGTAAGTTCACCTCCCCATTTCATGATAAGTAAAAGAGCCTCTTCTTTGGTGTCAGTCTGGATTTCTTCACCATTATCACCACCACTAGTACCGTCACTTTTGTCATGCACATGACCCAGGTATTTGAGCTGAATTTTACGATTGATTCCAGAAAAATGACCATACCTTGATATGGAAAATATTGATRTAATTATCATTATTAATTAGTACCATATTTGGAGTAGTATTATGGCTAGTATAATCAAGTACTTACATCTCCAGAACATTCTTAAGCTGGCTAATCTTACGATTTTTTTCAAACATTGTTTTCCCTTGTTCCATTTCTTCAAGTAAGGAGCGAGCRATATCYAGAACTTCCTGAAGCTGCTTTGGTTGTTTCAGCTTTAATTTCTTTTTGGTTGATTTGCTATATTTATTGAATAACTCTATAAACCTGGGAAAAATATCAATACCAAAATCAATCATAAAAAAATAACATAATACATGATTTCCAATATGATTTACAAGGGCATGCAGATCTATCCGCTTGCGTCAAATATCTCATTGCTAAGTTTTTATGCATAAAAAGTCCAAAAAGCAAACTTAATTATTAGTCAAATAGGGGTTAATAGTCTTCAAATATCATATTAGATTATAAACAACAGCTCACTTTGGATGCCTGACTTCCATCTTCAGTTTCTGTTTTGGTGTTCTGTCTCCATGACGTATAATTCCAACAACGCACCTCAATTCCAACATTGTACCATCCAAAGTATCTGCCATGGATCGATCCTCACTGTCAGTTTCTATTTCATATGGTTTATACAACTGTGGTGCTAACTGTTGTAGTATGATATTCACCAGGACCTAAAAGAGCAAAACTAACAATGTCATTTGTACTTGTGTTACCATCACAAATATGATGATCAATGGTACATAACTCGATTTCATATGATGGTAGTCATAAAACATTATTAGGGTAATCTGAATCATAGAATGATTCTTTAATAATCAATTACTGATTGTGGTATTCAATGTAAATCAGCTCTGATAATAAGTTAATAAAAATCAAAATTATATAATAAATGATTACAACAATTGCAAAGCTGATTGGGCTACCTGTGTACAATCATCATAGTATTTCTTTGAAGTTTTAACAAAACTAAAGCCATTGACATCACAAACATATGACTTGCCATGGGTCCTTAACAAATCAAATCCACAAACGGTTTGCTGTTAAACAATTAAAGAAAGAGATGGTTTAAAGATAGGGCAATATTCAGTAGAATGATGACACAAAACTCACTTTAAAAAGCTTGCAGACTTTGTGAGCTATTTCTTTCTCATAGGGATTAAGTATCACCGGATAACGTATTTCTTTGCCTTGACTGTCACGTTCTACTTTACCATCTAATGACGGAGACTTTCTTGCCTCGGCATGGGCATACTCTGGTCCTACTGTATAAATCTACACAAATATAATACTGGTATGTAACATTTAATCATTTAAAGTACTGCATAAGAGTCTAATATATGTACAAACCTTGACATCTGTACCGTCTGTGTGAACAAAATCTTCATAGATGTAAGAACCATACTTYCTTACAGAGCTTTCTGCAGAGTATATGCTGCTTCGACTGCCAACTTTTCGAAACAATCGCTGACTTCCCCCACCAGCAGAAGATGGGAAATATATGAACACATTGTGGTCTTCAGCATCTATTGGCTTTTCAACAAATGGTTTTTGAAAGACTTTATTCCCAATTTGTATTGAATCCTCTAGTTCTATAAATTCAGTGTCAATTGGGATACCATTTTCATCTCTAAGGAGAAGAGCATATCTTGGCATTTCTATATCGGCTGACTCTAGTAAATTATACACTGTACACCTAGAAGACAATAAAGAAATTGAAATCATTCAGTCAATGAATGTACAAAGAATGTTTGGATGGAAGAAAGAAAGAGAGAACAAATGAATGACTAATTAAAGGATCCACGAGGATTCAGATTCAACTACAGTCAACTCTCGCTATTACAGACACCTATGGGACTGTAGTTTAGTGTCCGAAGCAGCGAGAGTCTGTACTAACGGGAGTTACTTTCAGTAATTTCTTTGTATATCTCAGGGGATTCAGTATTTATGTCCGTAATATCGAGTTGTCCGTAATATCGAGTTGTCCGTAATATCGAGTTGTCCGTAATATCGAGTGTCCATAAGTCGAGAGACAGAGTTGTCGCAGACTGTAATGAGTGAATAAATGAATGAATAAATAATGGTGGAATGAAGATATGGCTGAAATGGATGAACTAAATAATAAATGAATGAATACTAGCAACACTTTTATCACTTATTGATGGATAAAGAGTAAGTACCTGTCCTTTAAGGTGAATTGCATTTCCAAGTCGTTAAGTACAAAAGGTTTCCGGAGTTCAGCATAAGTCATTGCTTTACTTAGAGGAAATCCAGTGGAGTAGAATGAAATAAGAGCATCACAAATTGGCCACTTTTCTATCGGTTCATTTTTAATGGTATGATCAGAAAATATAATGATTTCTACAAAGTCAAATCTTGATATACGAGTCAAGATCTCCTGCATTGGCTGGGACTTTGTCTGTAGAAGAACAATAATAACATCAATACAATAAAATAATTACAAGTGAATATGAATCAAGTTTTTTGGTATCAGGATCAGCTACCTTTTTGTTCATAGCACAAATTCCTAATCTAATCTTAGGTATTTCTTCTATGACTTCATCAATATCGTCCATAAGTGTGCAATCCATGTCAATGGCTGATTGAAGCGGTTCCATGAAGCTAACACTTTGTTCTTGTACTGTATCAGATTGTTCAAGGTATGTTGCTGACATACTTCTTAGAAGTAATGTTATAAAATGTGCCCATCATCTAAATAAAACAAAGAATAAACTTTATCCTTTAGCTTTGCTTGTCACATTTGTAAGATTGCAACAATCATAAATTTATGAAATGCAAGTTTTTACATGAAATTTGCCATTTATTTAATAGAATGTTTAAATAGAAATTCAGAGAATCAAAGGTAGAATTTGAACCAGTACGACCCTTTGATGATTATAAAGGAGTAGCTGCTGCTGTGTCAGTAGGTACACTTGAGTTTCAGTTGATATTTTATAACTTACACGTTAAATTAATTTAGCTTACACACTAAAATGTTGTACATCAACCAAAAAATTAGGTAAGCTTTGATCGACATATGCAATAAATATGTTAAATGTTTGAATCAATGCTCCTATCTTACCAGGAAAAGTGTTGTAWTACAGTAAAGTAAAAATAAAATGACAACAATTAATTGAAATAAAGAGTTGTGTGACATTTAACAAAATATCACATGATGTTCTACCGGCTGTGTTTTTCACAACACACAGCTGATTTTAGCTTATTTCATTGAGAAATACATGGAAAATATCGTATTTTACCTTTCATATTACTTACAGCATCTGTAGGAACCAAAACAAGACATAACCTACAGAAATATCATCTTACGCAGCTTAAAAATTGATTAAAATTCGACATCACTTCATCTTGTTTTTGGTCATTTCCATTTTGTTATGGAGGAGTAAACTCACATCGTGATYTATGATATAACAACAGTTCTAATTGGTTGAAAACAGCCATTCGCAAACGCTGTTATAAAATAAATATATATTTGTATAAGTCAATTTGATTGGTTAATATGCGCTAAATTCTGTCCAATTGTAAGCGTTTTTATACAGCTGTGTATGTGGTTGACGTCATAACATGGCCGCCAGCTTCAAAATAATGACTTATTTTCCTGTCACAGTCAAAATCTGCAGTTTTAAGGCAATATAGTTGATCTGATCGTTTAGATTTGTAAAGAGAAAGAAAYTGTAATCATGCCTTCTTCGAAGAAGAAAAATTTGAAGSAAATTTACATGGCGAATTCTATGGAAGAGCTAAATAAACTCGCCGAAGTAAGGACACCTGGAACCAATCCTGCGTTGTAAGTAACTTGCTTCATTACAACTTTCTAGTRCCATAAACTTCACAGATTTTGCGCCGCTGTCGCAATGTAACGTATTATGATCCACTAAAATGGTAAATGTTTATCTGAGAAGGTTAAAAAGCGCGACAAATGTTAATTATGCTGACATAACAAATTTTGCTCATGTTGACGCATAATTTAAAGTGGAAGTTCACAATTCTTTAATGTTGTAGGCTTTCTAAAACAGCTGATCGRTTGTACACTGAAGCTTTGTCAAACGAYGACAGCAATGATGAAGAAAGAGCCTATGTTTTCTATCTACGATATGTATCAGTCATCACTATGATCAGAAAGACAAACCAGTACAAAAAGGACAAGGTAATTAGAAATACTTACTGTATCTACTGTATAAAAGGAGATAAAATAAATAAGCACTTTCATATTGTCACGTGGCATCATTGCTGTTCAAGTTTTAAAACAGTGTTTCTCATTTTCAAAACCCCAAACATACAACTTGTCATGCAAAGAAATGATWTGTAGCAAGTTGAGCACACTTCTTGCTCAAAGTAGTCCATGGGTCCTTTATGCACCTATCAATGTCTTGCCCCAACGGGGGAAGCCTTGGGATACCCAGGGGCTATTGATATTTTTGGRAAACAAATGTCAATTAGCCCCTMTTAAATTCTACATCAAATGACAATAGGCCCCTCTTGTAATAACGATTTAATGTAAAGTATGCCAGGACCAGGTTGCTCAAAGCTCGATGAAAGCTGAGCCTGGTTTAACTCTTAAAAAATCTATCGAGTTAATCCTAGATTAACGCATGTTTAACAAACTTTCCTGCAGTTGTAAGTGAATTAAATAACATTCTAAAATGTTCCCCCTAACCTTGGGCATCCCTTCGTCAATAAAAGTCTAGCATCCCATGTCAGGGGCTAGGTTCGTATGTCAATGGCCCGTGTGCGCCTGGGCTCTCCCCGTTGGGGCAAGACATTGATAGGTGCATTACATAAATAAATTATAATAGTCAAGAGCCTAACATAGTTGGTTTTAATGTTGTAGGAATATTATGATAAAATGTTGGGAAAAACCAAACCAATCAAAGCAATCACTCAAGCTGAAAAACTCCAGAACAGTTTGGTGAAAAGGTAGATCATGTTAGTTACAGTCCAGTCATTTAAGATACCTTGATRCAGTTATATGTCACTCATGGTACTATCTTTATTGATATATCATTAAATGTTTTTTTTCTATTTTTAGATATGAAGAAAGAAAGAAGTTGAAAGAAGATGAAGAACTTGCCAAGAAAGTTCTTGCCAAAAAGAATGATGAAGGTATGGAAATTCAGTTGATGAAATGAATATCACGATTTGATGTCTTGYTTTCTTTTCCTAATTTAGAAAAACAACCCAAAGAAGTCAATAAACCAAGGTAAGACAATAGCAAAGGCAAAGTAAGATTGTAAGGAAGGAAATTGAAGCAAAATGAGAAGGAAATTATCATGCAGAAATTATGAAGGTTTGATTCTTCTGCCTCTTCATTATTTCTAGCAGATTTTCTCCTTTCTTGGCCAGGCAGGGTTGTTTATACCATTCACATTGTATGATGAACATTAATGAGATTGACAGAAGTACAAATGCCAGTTTAACATTACATTATTTAAATTCCAATTAGTTTTGATCTTCCTGGTCATGGGAAGGTAATATCTTCATCAGGGGATATCTATGAGAAGCTGAAGGTCAGTGCCTTTCAAAAATACTTATTTAAATTATTGCAATAAAATGGTTGGTTGACGGATGGGAATTAAGTCATGAAACATGAAGATCTGGGCCAGGTTGTTCAAATCTCATCAATTAGCTGATCCTATGAAGTTAAACTTGGATTAACACTAACCAGRCTTTGAACAACCTGGCCCTGTACAAACTGTTTCCAGGTAAGTTTTTCATGTCTTCCTTTTTCAGAATAGTACACCTACATTTGACTTCTGGTTTAATTTATGAATTATTTTGTGAACTGTTATTTTAGGTTAATCACTCAAGTATTCTGACTCCACAAGGATCAAMATCTAATGGTAAAATACAAACATTGTAATAGTGACATGTTTTTCAGCAATTTACTGTATTTCAAAGTGAAATATTTTTCAGTCGTTTTTGCTTTAAAAATATAATATCAGTGCAAATTCTGTGAAGTATTTATGTTTGTTWACAGATTTATGGGGTGCTTCATATTTATTTATACTGTTTCTTAATAGGTTTTAGTAATGACTCTGATGCTCTTATTCCTGGAATGACCAACACAATGCCGTGTTTAACAGCAGAGCAGCTTTACTCCCTTATGAAGGACTCKCCATCATCTGACATTCTCATCCTTGACATCAGATCTCAAAAAGATTTTACAAAAAACCATATTCTCATTGAATCTTGTATCAACATTCCTGCAGAGCTCTTAGAACATGGGTAAGAACTGTAAGTTTAGAGGTAATTAGAGGTATAACATCATTATTCATAGGGTCATAAGCCTTTAAAGGTCAATACAATTTAGAAAATGGCACAACAACAAATCATCTGAAAGTGTGGTGCTCCCCCCTTGATCTTGTTAAAGGATTCTGTTCCATCTGTATTAGAATAAGTTGAGTTTAAGATTAAATGACAAATTATAATAACCATGTGTTTCCAGGGTGTCTGTCAGCAACATTGAAAGAAGACTTCAAGAGAGAACTCGTCTTGTATGGCGAGAAAGAGGAAGGAAACAGCACATAATAATTGTTGACAAATCAACTCAAGTTAAGAATATTTCACCATCATCCAAACCTTTCCAGTTTAAAGAAGCAATATACAAGAATGATTCCAGYTGTCAACTAATRCATGAACCATGGATTCTTGATGGTGGTTTTGATGATTGGCTGTGGCATTATCCATCCATGGCTACAAAAYCTGAATTACCTGTTGTAAGTTCTTTC